CCCCAAAACCCCAAAACCCCAAAACCCCAAAACCCCAAAACCCCTAGCCTTATAATAAATATTAGAATAAAGTTATAATATTATAAAATGCTTCTAAGAGGCTTGAACAATAGGTTTACTCATGGAGCCCTGAAGGGAAGAAACCACCTGCTGAAGGCCACCCAGGCAACCAGCACTGTGTCTGGTTCTGGTAATGTAGGCAGACCATATTTTACTTTTATGGATAAAGTAAAGGAAGCAGTCAGAGTTCCTGTAAAACATATGGAATCCTTCTTTGAATCAGGAGGTCATGATTATGAGTCGCAGCTGCCAAATACTGAGAATTTGTATGGTAACACTGCAATGGTTTTCAATGCTTATTTAACCCATAATGCTATTGATATGAATACTTGGCATGATATGGACAAAACTTATCATAATCAGTTTGGAACTGTTGATAATCCAGTCCTCATATTCACCACTGACTCTTCATGGAGAATTGTCATTTGTCAAGGACCAGGAGTCGAAGATGATTCGCATGCTCACGAGAAAATGTTTTACTTTGTCAGAGAAGGACCCATGAATAGGTGACACATTTGTGGTCAATGCTTCAAACTTGTCAGACTCAAAGACGAGTACTCAGAAGTCAATGACTACTACTCGTTTATGTTTTCGTCTCTGTCGCACTTCGATATTTCTGAAGAAGATGCTGTAATTCCGACAAAGCAAATGTTCGGAGATCGGCCATCTTCAAACCTCCAGTCAGCAGCCGGTAAGAATGTGTATATTCATGTGAACCCAGACGAAGCTGACCACATGCTTGTGGACCCAGCTTACAAAATGGAAAAACTCGAAGAGGCCTACGAAAAACTGGAAGCTCTGTTCATGGCGTTCCAGAGAGTCGAGAGAGAATCAGGGCCTGCAGTTGCGACTCCAGTCGCAACCAGCAAGAACCTCTACTCCAACTGGTTCGACATTGAGAAGAGCATCAGAGAGCTCGACAGAATGTTTGTCAAAGTCGAGAAATTTGAAGCCAGGCTGTTCATTGACCCTGATAATCATGACAGAAGAGAACAGAGAATGCTCGCTAGAAAGAGAGACAGGTGGACTGACAACTACACCTACTTCTTCGGAGGACTCACTGAAGAAGAACAGATGTACAGAGACTACTTCCAGACCGACCTCGAAGAACACCCAGAAGATGCAGTCGAAGACGCATTCATTGACGAGCTCGACATTGCCAGTCAGGGTGAATTCAAGTTTGAGAATTATGAGTTCATCGAAAGCTCGGTCGGAGAAGACCCACACGACCCTCTTGTGGACCTGATTGACAGCAAGATCTTCAAGTACCAGTACAGAGTCAACAATGACAGCATGCAAGACTACATCAGAAGGATGGACAGAGTCGTGTCAAGGCAGCTCGAGAGAGCCAGCAGAAGAGACCCTGCAGTCAACAAGAACCTTCATGATATCTTCGAAGAAGGCGATAGAGAACGCACACTTGGAGCCCAGATCTACAAATTGGTCAAGGGTCAAGCTGCCGATGGCAAAGTAGCCCAAGAGACCAAGGCCATCAGAGACTACATGTACGAAGAGTCTCTGCACCAATACAAAGACTACTTCGAGTCAGATGATGAAGAAGCAGACTTCTTCGAATATATGGAGGAACTGCCAGCAAGAGACAGGATCAAACTCATCGAGATCTTCGAAGATTACACAGTCCCGAAGAAAGACGGAAAAGGGTATGTTAAAATTCCCAGAAGAGAGTACAACCCAGAACTCTCATTCTTCTCGAATGCAGCTCTTGATTTGGCTGACTTCAGAGACAGAGTGTTGCCACTTGCACAGGATGCAGCCAGACTTGATGGAACTTTCAAGTACCAGAGAGTCACAGAACACGAACCCCAGAAAGTGTTACAGCAGAGAAGAGAATACATGAACAAGTTCCTTGAGGGACACGGACAGCCAGTCGTTGAGTTTGGAGGAGACACTTTGACAAGCGAAGAGTTGTTGTCAAGCGATGAGTTCACTCAGACATCTGAGCAAGCACAAAAAGTACACGATGTAGAAGATGTAGATGATAAGAGTGTTGAGTCATCTCACGATGAAGCCGAGGAGTACGAAAGTATAAGTGAGCAGAGCCATTCCGATGAATCTGATGGCTCTAGCGATTCATCCTCATCAAGCAGTTCTTCTAGTGACAGGTCAGGATAACTCCTCAGGTGCAGATGCAGCTGTAAGGCCGTTGGATAATGCAACCAAGCCTTCTACGGTCAGAAGTCAGCTGTATAAAGATTGTGGTAGATAAAATTATAAGACTTTGGATAAATCCAATCCAAAATATTTAAAAGGGGTTTTGGGGTTTTGGGGTTTTGGGGTTTTGGGG